GAGCTGTTGTTAAAGCCATTAATTTTTTTTAAAAATGTAATTGAGATAATTTTTCCTTTTTAAGAAATTAAAAAAAAAAAAAGTTATTGGCCCTTGTACAGATATTGTAAAAAACAAGCCACAGTATTTATCAAGTTTTTACCATTAACTTTTTTTTTTGAACAAAAGTCTATGTCCTTTTCCTTTTTCTTTTCCTTTTCTTTTTCTTTTTCTTTTTCTTTTTTTGACTTTTTAGAACACGTCAACATAGATTGAATTGGATTGGATTAGGATGAACTGGATTCATGTTTGTTTGCTGGAGAATTCGTATTAGACTAAAAATGGGGAATCCCAGGGAAAGTTTAGGTTGCGTTTGGTAAAAGGAATTTTTTATTTTTTGGAAAATAATTAAAAAAAAATACTTTGATGATTTTTATTTTTATTTTTATTTTTGCTGCTCCATTTTAAAATCAAAGACAAAATATAGAAACATTCAAAATGATATTTTTAAAAAAATCTAAAATGAAGACACGCAGGAGGCGCTGAAAGGACTTTAATGAGGTCCAACCTCGGAGCCATGTTAATAGCAAACAAAAGATATTNAAAGGCAGGTTATAAATTTAAATATTTTAAATTTAAATTTTAAAAATTTTTTGAAGTCAAATTACGAAGAATTAATCTTGCATTAATATTTTAATCCCGACGTAGATAACTTGTCTTTAATAAGATCAGAAATAAAATTAATTAAAATGCGTACAAATTTACAAAGACAATCCGACCGTTCAACCAAAAAAAAATCTTCACCGAAGCTTCTCTTCTTTTCTACATTAACGTCGATGTCAATTGCTTCACGGTAAAAGGTGGGTTAAGTGGAAAAACACGAGATGAGACATACGAATTGGATTCAAGTCTCATTGTGAATACAAACTCGAGTCTAAACTTGTGCACGTATTGTACGGATAAATACATATATTTCAGAGCTGTTGTTAAAGCCATTAATTTTTTTTAAAAATGTAATTGAGATAATTTTTCCTTTTTAAGAAATTAAAAAAAAAAAANGCCATTAATTTTTTTTAAAAATGTAATTGAGATAATTTTTCCTTTTTAAGAAATTAAAAAAAAAAAAAAAAGTTATTGGCCCCTTGTACGGATATTGTAAAAAACAAGCCACAGTATTTATCAAGTTTTTGCCATTAACTTTTTTTTTGAACAAAAGTCTATGTCCTTTTCCTTTTCCTTTTCCTTTTCTTTTTCTTTTTCCTTTTTTGACTTTTTAGAACACGCCAACATAGATTGAATTGGATTGGATTAGGATGAACTGGATTCATGTTTGTTTGCTGGAGAATTCGTATTAGACTAAAAATGGGGAATCCCAGGGAAAGTTTAGGTTGCGTTTGGTAAAAGGAATTTTTTTTTTTGGAAAATAATTAAAAAAAAATACTTTGATGATTTTTATTTTTATTTTTGCTGCTCCATTTTAAAATCAAAGACAAAATATAGAAACATTCAAAATAATATTTTTAAAAAAATCTAAAATGAAGTCACGCAGGAGACGCTGATAGGACTTTAATGAGGTCCAACCTCGGAGCCATGTTAATAGCAAACAAAAGATATTTTTTTGGTACATATTTAAAGACCTCAACTTTTTTTCTCTTTCTTCGAATATCTCTATTTTGCAATTTCATCTCTCGCCTCTTGCCGCTCTCTCTCTTTTGCAGTGAGGTTGGATGGTGGTTTTAGGTGGTGTTGGCTAGTGGGTTTTGGTGGTTATTGGCGGTGGATTTAGGTGGAGTTGACTGGTGGGTTTTGAAGTGGGGTTAGGGGGTGAGGTTTTTTTTCAATTGACCACTTGTTGAGGTTTGTAAAAGAGGTTTCTATTGCCATCCGAGTTTTGTAAAAAAGGTTTTGGTTAAATACAATTTGTGGAATATATGAGTTATTGGTAGGATAAATAATTGAGCCNTTTATGAGTTATTGGTAGGATGAATAATTGAGCCGAGCTATTCGGATTCAGTTTAAATAGGACTCAACTCATGTTCTAAAAGAATCGAACTTGAACAATTTGTTAGACTCGTTTAGAAAATGAGCCTGAAAATAGTTGGGGTGCAACTAGAGCAGGTTAAAAGGTTAACTTTATCTCAACCCTAGGTATATAATCTTCAAATCTAACCCTAAATCTAACTCTACTTTAACTCGAGTTTAATTCGGGCGAGTTTGGGTTGAATTCGAGTTAATTTTGAGTTAAAAATCGAATTGAACTTGGGTTACTTAATTCAAATTGATTTTTTGAATTGTAGATTTGATTTTTTCAAGTGATCTGAGATGATGGGCGATGCGCAGATGAAGAGAGAAGGAGGAGAGACGAGTGAGAGAAGAATCTGAGAGTAATAAAGGCGCTGGGATGAAGACTTGAAGTGAATTAAAAATCTGAACTCTAAAAAGTGAAGATAAATATTAACTCTAGTTAAATATATTTATATATTTTATGTATATTCGGATTCAACCCGATTTTAATATTCGGGTTAAACCCGACAACCCAAGACTTGCCTAAATTCAATTTAAATTAGGATTTTTTGGCCCAGGCCCAACTTAAATATTAAAAATTATAATTCAAGTCCTGTTTTTTTCGAGTTGGGCTTGAGTTGAATTCAAATTAGTCTGCTCAAGTTGCACCCCTAGAAAAAAGTTCAACTTGAACTTACAAAACTCGGGTCGTTATGTGTAAAATAGTCAAGTTACTCAGGTTCGGTTCGTTTTGAACTCGGTTTGTGCTCGATTTCTTTTTTAAATGAATCGAGTTTAAATAATTTTTTATAATAATTTTAAAAAATAAATTCAACAAATACGACTCAATTATCAACCCAAATTTTTAGACATATTTAGATTTACAGGAGTCTTGTCTCGCCTTATTGGATGTGACTGATTTAACAAATTGACTATACATACCTACAATCGAAATTTCGACTCTCCCTAAGTTGTCTTTTATCTAATTTCTCTTATTAAATCATCTCACTTATATACAGCAAGTCACGTTTAAAATTACAGTAGATAATCTATCAAGGAAAATAAAAAATTTACATTTTAATTACATGTCTAAAGGCTTCGGATTGAGATGATATTTCATTAAAAATAATAATAATAAAAATAGGCTGCTTGTCCCACAAAAAGAGGAGATGATGGAGTCAGTGGGGCCACTTTTGGGTGAAAGCAACCAATGAAGTGATAATACGACAAAATCATAAAGCAATCTTTTTTTTTTTTTTAGAGCGAGAATTAAGAGGGAGGTACCCTCGGCCCGATAAGGATGGTCTTTATGGTAAAATGTTTAGTTTAAATTATAGTTATTATACTAAACGAATAATCCGTTATCTAATTACTATCAAAATTAAGTAACAAATCTCGTTATTTCTGTGAAATAAATCTTTTTTGATAATCCTTTTTCTCTCTCTATCAGCCTCCAAACCCACAATGGGGTCGGAAATTTAAATCTACAATTACCAAATTAGAAGAAAGGCGATAACATTGTTTGATAATCACACGAAAGTAAAAGAGAATCTTAAAAGAGGTACGATTCAGGATTAGACTTCCGGTTCTAACGCGTTTGACCCAAAAGAAGAGCCAAGATACGCGTCTCCACAAAGTTTTCATAGTTCAGACGACACCAACGGTTACCGTCAACTTCATTCATGTCAGTAGTCCCTGTCGTTTTACTTTGAAAACTTCTCTTCTTTCCCAACATCAAACGTCGCTGTAAATGGCTTCAAAGTTGAGCGTACCGATTGATTCAATGGTCGAAAAAGAGATGAAAAGTATCATTATCAATACAAACTCGAATTTAAACTTATGCGTGTATTGTACGAATAATTAGATACGAGACCCATTAATTTATTTAGTGATTGTGATTGATTAAGTTATCAAATTATTTGAATATTTTAAGTTCATTTAGTATTTCTCATTACGAAAATCGAAGAGTTTTTGTTACACCATTTAGTTTAAAAAAAAAATAACGTAATTGAGATGATTTCTTGGTTCTAATAAATTAAAAAATAAAAAGTAATTAGTAGTCCCTTGTCCGTGAAAAAATATTGGGTGTAATCGTACGCCGTGTCATCATGCTGACATGGTTTAATAGTCTAATGATAAGATAACATGTGGACAAATAAATTCCACATATTTAAATAACTATCTATCTATGTCATTCAATAACTACCTCATATGGAATTTACGTGTTATCTTATTAGTGGACAGTTACATCTAATATTTTTTTTCTTGTACGGATATAGTAAAAGCAAGCCACAGCATTTGTCCAGTTTTTACCAATAACTTTTTTTGAACAAAAGTTTATAATTGCCACTCCATGTATTCAATATTTTTCATTGGTTATATTTGAAATTTGGGAGAATTTTTATGGCCCTTATGAGACCCAATTTTCCTAGTGAGAGTATTTATAGTTAAAGTGAAACAAAATCTTCAACTTTACTCGATCCTTTCTTTTCTTTATTTTTATTGTCCTTTCCTTTTTTTTCCTTTTTCTTTTTTGACCTTTTAGAACACCCGTGATAAACTGAATTTATCAATTTAGAGCTGATAATCGAACAAGTCCAAATAAGTTTAAAGTCGAACGTGTCGAGCTCATTTTTTTAAATGAACTTAAAAAAATATTCAAGTTCGATTCGATTAAAAAACAAACTGAGTTTAAACGAATCAAACCCAAATATTTAACCATAAACGAATCAAACCTATTAAGTTTATGCCGAATTTGTTGACCTTATTTTCTAAACGAACTTAAAAAATTATTCAAGTTTGACTCGTTTAAACTGATTCTGAACGAGCTGAAGTCGAATGACTTAATTCAATTATCAGCCCTAATTGGATTGTATTAGGATAGACTGGATTCGTGTTTGGTTGCTGGAGCATTGGAATGTATTAGACTAAAAATAGAATATCCCACGGAAAGTTTAGCCTTGCGTTTTTTTCGAAATGGAAAATTTATCTCAGAATGTACCTTCATCTAAACCTATATATCAAACACATTTTTCCGCACTCAAAAGCTGGTATGATTATACAATATTGAGTATGAACAAATACGATCATGAGTGTAAGTATCTCAGAATTTCTGCACTCAAATGCAAATCGTTCCCTCGCTCATAATTTTTGAAAAAAATAAACATACAAACATTTCCCAATCAAAGCAACTCAAATAGACAAGCAAAGCCATATCAGAGACTAACTTGCAAAACTACGCAACTCAGATGGGTTCAGCAAACCATTCTGTCCATTAAATACACTCCTTCATACCAGATCAGGCTTCATCAAAGTAGGGTGCCTCCAAGAGCACTGCATGCTAAGCTAATACTCCATCCAACCAAATAGCATATCTGATGGCATTCTGCAATGTCTGCTTGTAGCATTCCTCAATTAGGACTCCAAAGCAACTTTCTACTAGGAGCAGGAGGGGCAAATCCAGGAATATCCCGAATGTCTTTGTTATGTGGATTTACAAGCTGAAAGTTGAAGAAACCAAAAATAGCAGTCTTTATATATACATCTACAAACTAAACGACTAACAATTGACATAGCAAAGTGCTTCATGAGTCGATGACAACACAAACGCTCCAAAAAGTTTGACAAAACGTGATATTTGAATAAATACCAGGGCTATCAAACAAATTGGTAGAACAGAAATTATATCTTATTTAGTTTAAATAATAATAAGCAATAGAGGGAAAGGAAAAGCTAACAGCCTAACCTTAACAATAATGATAGCTATGACACCGATAACAATAAGGAAGAGAAAGGCCATAATGCACCGATCAGTAGCAACCTAATTCAGGAATCCAAGTGAGTAACAAGAAATAACAACTTCATACACACATGTACACAGACACCTACAAATATAAGTACAGATGTACATATTTGAAGAGATAAGGGTAAGCATATTGCAGAGATTGACCTGCCTACCAATTTCCTTGACCAGCTGAGAAGCCTTCTTAATCGAGAAATGAATAGAGTCCAGCTCATTAACAATCCTACTCATTTGTTCAGTCTGAATATATAACAAGAATGTGACGCTTTAGTTCAACAAACAATTTTAAATGTTGGTAAATCACAAATGAAATTTAACCATCTTTGAAAGCAATCAAATGACACACCTGTGCCTTGAGAGCTGCTGCAGTCTCTGTTCCAACATTTACTGTGTCGTGAACAACCTATTACAAAGAGAGGATCCAATAATTATATTTTTCAGATTGAAAAGCAACTTCCCAATTTATGATGGCGTTATTAATTTTATGTTCATTCGGCTACAGAAGCAGCTCATTCTATTTTACCAACAATGACCAGAGCCCATGGTTAAACACCATAAAAGATCAAGTGCTAATTTGTGAATCATAATAATGCTAAGGAAACAATTTATTCCAAGAAATAAGTACTCATTCATGATTATTGAATTTTATTAGGTACCCCGAAAGAATAGATGAAAAAATAGCTCATATATCCTTATCAAACAGGAGCGATAGCAGATTATCCTCTGGAATAAATCATGTTTCTTCTTCCAAAATGTACTAACCTTTTTTGATCTCTCAATGGCCTGGTCAGTCTCGTCCATCATGTGATTTCCCTTATCCATTAGCTGCTGATTTGTCATAGCTGCAATGTAAACATGCTAGCACTCAGAAATTTTACAAATGTCAATGTTTAAACAAAACTGCAGCTAACATGTAAGGTTGTTTGCTATGTCAGATGCAACTCAACTGACATGAGGTGTCGAAGCTATTGTTACATCTGAAAGGGCTTCACTCTTATTATACAGCTGCCATCAGTATTACCCAGAAACACATACAAGAGCACAGAACAGCAGATATACTTTTGGAAAATCTACGTGAAGACGAACGAAAATCGGAGAACTAAGTCCTCAATTTTATTGTGATTTTCAATGGAAGTTGTAGAAGTATGACATATGCACCCCTAAACAGTTGAGGATCCTGATAGTTCTTTTATCTCATTTCACTCAAAAGAATCTAGAAATATATCCAATCCTGAAGATGAATGAAAGTCGGAGAACTAAGTACAAACCATGTCTCAATTTTTTTGTGATTTTCAATGGAAGTTGTAAAAGTAAGACATATGCACACCAAAACAGTTGAGGATCCTGATATTTCTTTTATCTCATTTGTACCCCTTCAATACATCAAAAAGGTTTCGAGTCAAGTTCTTGAACTCATGCCTATCATCCTCACCTTCTTTTTTCCGTAAGTTCTGAGATTATTTGCCTACACTAACCCACAGCCATGTAAGTCTAAAGGCCACCTTTTTTCTCAATCTTTCTGCAGAAATCACAAAATATTCAAGGGCAAATATGTGAGTGCATGATGCGTGCCCATCTCCATATTTTGAAGCAGTGCATAAAATTGCTAGTTGCCCCCTTATCCTCTCCCATCCTTCACTGCATATGCGATCCAGTTACCAAAACATGCCCGACATCTTCATATAGAACCAAACTCCCTTCTCCCATTAGCAAAAAGAGTCATTTCCTCCGCTATCAGGTATTGCTTTCCCTCAAGTCTCTCATCTCATCGCTCATTTACACTCATCTTTCACTGCTACCAGGCTATTAGTGATGAAACAGAACCAGTCTTTATTTTCTTCAAAGTCAGTACTTTTAACAACATCCAAACATTCATGATGGTAATAAGTAAGTATGAAATATAGCAGCAAGGATACATACTACTGCTGAAGGACAAGATGACACTGATACGCTGATGAATAAGAACTCAATGCGACTTCAGGAGACATTTCGAACAGTAACAATTATGATTCCCATTTATTGCATACAAATCCCCAAAGAGTGTTAATAAAATAAATTATTTTTGCTTGCTAAAAAAAAACCATATGCTTACATGAAGCTAGCAAGACATTTTCTTCACCAAGCCCTTCCCCAGGTCCATCAAAGAGATCAACTCTCTTGGTTTCAAGATTGCTTGCATATCTAGATCACCACCCACAAAAATGTATCAACAACCAGGTATCAAAATAAAAGAATGAGCAGTGATAAGTACATAAGGAAACAAAAAACACGTAAAAATGTAGAAACATACTTTAGTCTGTCTATCTATTACTAGATCATCTTATTCAGGAGATATTATAATTTACAGAGAAAAAATAGCACAAGCTTCATGAATTGGAAAAGAGTAACTGCTTAGGAAACTTACTGTTTTTTAAGAGCGACATATGAATTCAACTCTTTGACCTACAAAGAAATGGCTCAACAGTAATTACAACAAAAATAATGATTTCCAGTATCTAATCACAGCTAGAGTATGGGAATCTAAACCCACCATTGATTGCTTTTTATCATTCAACATCTTGTTGGTGTCTGGGTCATTTTGATACTCCATATCCTTTGCTTCTCTATCGAACTCCTTGATAAGCCTGCCACACACACACACACACACACACATATATATACAGAGAGAGAGAGAGAGAGAGAGAGAATCAATGTAAAATTAGCTTTAGAAATAATTTTAACCAAAATCTGAAAATTTTGACTGGCATTCACTAATATGGTCAGGACTTTAGTGGCAAAGGAATTTCATGATAAACTTTATTTGATTGAAAAGAAACAAGTTGCTCTTTATATAGGACAATTCACAAATTTTTACTTTAAAAAATCACGACTTGTAGCTCCTGCCACTAAAACATCCTCAATTTTAACTTCTCAAAATAGCTTGAAATGCAGCTCATACATAGTTATATACACTGGTCAGAATACCTCTTGCATTCACGCATCTTTCCAGTGAGCTCCTCCAACTGCCTACTCTGTCTGTTGGAGTCCTTCATCTTCTCCAATTTCTGAAACCCATTTCTGCAACAAAATAAATTGACTGCATTGTCAACCCCCAAAAATTATGGTTTTCAAACAGTACAATCAATCCCAAAGCACAAATAGAACATTCACATTGCAAAAAGTAAATCACCATCTCACCAAGCTACTGCTATCTCGCAAACTAAAAGAACAACAATCTGTCTATTTTCTAGTTTCCAGAATCTAATACATTCTCGTAGAGACACTCAATTACACAAGTCAAAGATCATAAGAAAATAATGTCAAACCTATATAAAACCTACTATATGTGATCATCCGTGATGTAGATATGGGCATACATCTTTTACATATGAACACATCAATACTACTGTGAATCGAAACATAACAAGTGAAAATGCTTACGATAAAGCACGGAAGATATCGGCGATTTGTCCGTCGATCTCCGCAAGCTCCTCGCTGATCGCAGATAACGAAGCCATTTCCCAATCTCAACCTGAATTGCCTTTGCCTTTACTTTCCTTCCCAAATCCTCTATAATCCCCAATCTGCCACCGAAGTTTACAACAATGCCAATCTTCAAATCCCCAAAACTCCTCAAAATTCAAATCAAAAACCACAACCACCTCACTTTCTCCGATCCGATCCAAACAATGTCGGGACGAATTTGAAATTCGAACAATGTCCAGCTCATTTACATATCAAAACATCATCACATAACAAGATTCAACCAGATTCGAAGATATGAACCAAAAAAACTTCGAATTTTCCGATCAGATCCGAACAATGCAGGCTTGATGAACTTGGATCTGATCGAAAACCAAAGGTGCACGTTTGAGAACACAGAGCTATGAGCTGTAATGGCTATTTACAGACATTTTTTCTGTTTTGAATGAATTTTGTATGAATATCTAGGTTTTTTTGGTTTTATTCATTTCAAAGGCTTCGTCGTTATGCTATGGAGGGGGTTTCTGAGAGAGGTTTAAATATTTACCGATGATTCGGCCGTTTAAACCGCTGCAAGATGTAATTTTAACAACTGGGCTCCACGTACGCGTTTGTTTGTAGGGTTACTTTCAAATCCAATCTCAAAAAATCTTTCCAACGATAAAAATATTTAATTTATACCCGATATAAATCTATACCAATCTCTTCTTAAAGTAAATATTTAAAATTAAATAGATAAATTACACAAAAAATTTATTTAACTCATATTTACGTATTTATAGTATGTGTGAATAGCCGAATTAGTGTTGTATTGGGGTAGTTCCTAATATAAATCGTGTTTAACAGATTCACGTCATATTTAATTAGGCTCGTGTCAATCCATTTATTTAATTGGTCTGATGGATTCATCCTTATAATACCCAAAAAAGGCCGAGACTAAACTTAAATATGCCGATTTGGTATTGGCTTTGCTGATGGTGTTTAAAATTGTCAGGTTTAATTTTAACTACAGAAATGAAAGATTTATTCATTTAATGCAATCAATTTCTTTCAAAATAAATAATTTTTTTTGTCGATAACAGTACTGAAAGGCCTTCTTAAGAGCCACAAATGTTCTTGTCGCACAAATTTATAGATGTGAAAGAAGACCAGCAAAAGTGATTAATGGAGATGGACGCAAGAAACTATGGCAATATTTAATGAGGTCCAAAAACGATTTGTTTTTACCCTGGTTAAAAGTCTTTCTTACCTTTTCAATTGTTCATGTTGCGAATATGACTGAAAAGGTAAGCAAGACCTTTAACCATTTCTTTAGTTGTGTCACTTTAGTATATAATAATATGTTTTATTTGAGTTTAAATTTCTGAAAAATTGATAGTCGATATGTGAGAAACTTAATAGTGAAATGGACGAAGTGATATCAATATCATTGGTTAAAAATGCAAAGCATAATTACCCTTTAGAAAACTTGGAAGTGAACCCGCATGAAACGTTATTCTTGTTAATATATATAGTTTCTGCATGCGACAAAATAGTCCCCCTTATTTTTTTAGATCCGACTCTAAGTTAAATCATTCCTGTGACATATGTCTTTCTAGCTCAACCAAAAAATTTTGTTTAGGTGTGCAGCCTTTTTAACCAGTCAATGTATTGTGTTGTGTTCATTTTATATCAAAATTTATTTAACTCATACCCAACTCATTTATAATCATGTATAGTCAGATTAGTGTTATATTGAGTACGTGGTTTGTATAAACTGTGTTTAATAGGTTTATGTCGTACTTGTTTGGGTTCGTGATGAACCATTTGTTTGATGGTTTTAATGGATCCGCTAAGATCCATTAAAAGCCGTTAAGATCAAATACAAAATGGGTCAATTTCGTATTGGTCTCGCAGATTATGTTCAAAATTACCAGGCTTACGTTTAATCATAGAAATGGAAGATGGATTCATCTGAGGTAATTTATTTCTTTCAAAATAAATAATTTCTTTGATAATACCAGTGGCTCAGGCCTTTTTAGGAGCCACAAATATTCTTGTCAAACAAGCTTCTAGATGTGGAAGAAGACCAGTAATAATCTTCCATGAGGTCCAAAACGATTGGTTTCTATCCCGGTCTTCCTTTCCTTTTTAATTGTCCATGTGTCGTGATTATGCCTTAAAGTCTTGAAATATCTATTGCAAAAGGAAAAATTGTACTTTTAGTTCTTAAACTATATATTATGTCTCATTTTGGTACCTATTCTATTTTTTGTTGTGTCACCTTGGTATATAATATTGTCAGTTTGAGCTTAAATTGTTGAAAATCGATAATAGATGTGTAAAAATATCTTGTAACGTCATTTGAGTAAGTACACTTTTAGTCCTTTTAATATCCACGAAATTTGAACATTTACATGAAGGTGAAGAAATGAAATGTTGATTATGTCTTGTTATCTTAGACTCTTAGAGAAGCAAGAAAATGGGACAATGGTGGTATCATACAAGAGGACTCAAGTCCTACACAATTCTTCCTTCATTGTTGCTTGGAAAATATTACATTTTTTTTTCTTAATTTGGCAAAGTCATTGATGCAGCTAAGTCAAGTCGTCTCTACAATTGATAAGGTCTNACTCTTAGAGAAGCAAGAAAATGGGACAATGGTGGTATCATACAAGAGGACTCAAGGCCTACACAATTCTTCCTTCATTGTTGCTTGGAAAATATTACATTTTTTTTTCTTAATTTGGCAAAGTCATTGATGCAGCTAAGTCAAGTCGTCTCTACAATTGATAAGGTCTAAATCAATTCTTATGCAGAGGGAAAAGACACATTATGTATGATTTAACTAACTAGGTTTAATGGCCTATGGGATACTGATATAATTTAATATGGTTGTGACACTACGGTAATATATGAAAAGTAAAANAATTGTGATGTTTTCCACACGGTACCAAATTGTGAGGCTTGAAAACAAATAGAAGCAAAAAACATGTTTCCATTAGATTTGAACGTGCAAACTTCACGGGTACATGAATACAAATATGAGATACTGATATAATTTAATATGGTTGTGACACTACGGTAATATATGAAAAGTAAAATATAGCTATAATAAGATGCGCCAAATAAGTATGGTTTATATTATGTATACTATATGTGATGATATAAATACTTTTGTCTGCGTAAATGTTTATTATTTTGAAATTAAAAATTTTCACCTAATTGACAAAAATAATATAAACTTTATTGTTCAAGCAAAACTCTTCCAAAACGTCAAATATATGACCAACTGTTATTGTATTCAAGTTGGTATCTTGTTTTCAATTTCTAAATGGGTAAAATTTTAGATTGGAGGGCAATGATATGTTACAAAAGGCTCTTGCTCAGCAAACAAAACTGGAAATATATTAGTTGTTTTGAGATATTTTTATTTTACAAAAAAACTTATTTGAGTTACTTCAACGACCCATTCTTTAAATTATACTATATTTAGTCCTAATGAATCCTTGCATGTCCGAAACATGCCAATCATTTATAATCGACATATACTCAANACGACCCATTCTTTAAATAATACTATATTTAGTCCTAATGTATCCTTGCATGTTCGAAACATGCCAATCATTTATAATCGACATATACTCAAGGTGTCAAGAATATTTTTAGAACATTTGAGATGTAGTTGGTTGTGTCGATTTAATACTTATCCATCCGTATTTGATGCATATTCGTGTTTGAGACATATTTGATACATATATTATAGTCTTGTGGATGTATAAATGCTTCACAGCTTGATGTAAAGTTGTCTGGTTTAAAATGTAAAAGATAATTAACTTCTTGTCAAATGAAGATAGATTCATTATAAACTATACACTTGATTATGATGTACTCTATATCGAACTTTAGTTTGTAGAGAGTTATACATGAACTTGCGTAAGTTCTAGGGCACCGAAAAAGTGCCAAAGACGACCAATTATAAAGGACATACATGATTNCCTAAGTTCTAGGGCACCAAAAAAGTGCCAAAGCGACCAATTATAAAGGACATACATGATTATATTTGTATGCATAATATAAAATCATTTTGCATATAGAACAACATAATCAAATATTAGAACAGTTAAATCGAGTTCGTGCTCTGACAAAAAAAAATGACTAAAGTTCGTACAAGTTTCTTAACAAGACTTATCAGATGCATAATAAGTCTTTTTTTGCAATTCTTTAAGAGTGGATTAGATGTTTTAGGTACTTGAGATTTTATATTACATGTCTAAATTAGATTTGTTAAATAACTCTTTAACTTATTTGTTATTATCTGACCAAAAAAAAAACTTTTGCTATTATCAATTAAACGGGTTGAATCCGGGTTTTGTCTTGGCTGAAGTGAACAATTGGCGGGTCAAATCTGAAGTCCAGCAGCACTGCCCATCCAAACACTATCGACGCGAAGCTAGCGTTTTCTACGCTATAAATAGCCCGGAGCAGAGAGCTAGGGTTTTTGATAGTCTGTATTCCCGCAGCCGCTTTTTATCCACTACTCTCGCGAGCCCAACCATGGTACTCTCTCTCTCTCTCTCTCTCTCTCTCTCTCTCTCTCTCTCTCTCTCTCTCTACACACACAAAAGCATGTATGTATATGTAAAAGTTTATATATGTTTAATGCTTTGTATTGCTTGAATTCAACATGAGAACTTGAGAAATTTTTTTTTTATTTTAGGCAAAAATCAAGGGTGAAATTCTTGTTTTGTGAGAGATTTAGGTCATATATTTCCTATGATACTCATTAATTTTGATATTTCTGCGTGGAAGATGCATATGAAGCTCAACTTAAAATTTCTCTAAATGCTTTTGAAAAAAGGAACATTTTATTGAAACCTCCAATGGGCTTACGGAAGCGATCATTGTTTCTAATTTTAGCTCGGGAAATTATTTTCGTGCGAAGCTAACACGAGAATTTGACCAATTTTGTTTTCCTGCTCCAAATCAGAGAAGTAAAATGGGGAAAAACGATAGATAAGGCAGTCAGAGAGATTTTATTAATGCATTGTGCATTGTTAGTGTTGTTTATGTATTATGTCTGATGAACATTTGGTGGGTGTTCGTGATGGGATCTCTGCATACCCATTCTTGTGTAAAACGGTCTATTAATAAAAGCATAGGAACCGAACTGCTGGCAATGTGTAGGCATTTGTGCTATTCTTTCGGTGATGAAGTATTGATGACATACTTGATTCATGATGATGGTTCAGAATTTGTGGATTACGAGTGGAAAGCTCATAATAAAGGAAGTGTTCGTTGTTTGCTTAGTTCATTGGATATTAACCTAGCAAGTGATTGTTATTTGAATTTGTATAGGAATTTTATAAAATATCTATTAACCTATCAAGTAATGTATGCCGTCCTCCTTTGGTGAGATAGTGAGAATGGCATGAATGAGGTTATGCTCTGGGAGGTGCAAAGGTATTCTCCTAGCTATGTGTGTTTTCTCATCGAGTTTTATGTTAATGCATTTGCTTCGATGCAGACTAAGAGGACGAAAAAGGCTGGTATTGTTGGGAAGTATGGTGAGTTCTACTGTGCTTTTTAATATTGCTTCACCCTTTGGTTGTGCGTGTATACTGTTGATTCCTGACTTGCTACTGATTTCAGGTACCCGTTATGGGGCTAGTCTGCGAAAGCAGATTAAGAAGATGGAGGTTAGTCAGCATAGCAAGTACTTCTGTGAATTTTGCGGAAAGGTATAGCATTTCTTATTCACAAAGGTTTGGATTATTCAGTTCATTGGTATTATAGGTGGGGAGGGCCTGTTCTAGGTCAAGTTTGACTCCATCCACATCATTCATGAGATGACGTAGCCCCTATATAAAAAGGTTGTGGATGCTGCTAAGAAGTCTGAGCATTTTCTTCTTTTTTTTGACGGTATTGTTTGCAGTATGCGGTGAAGAGAAAGGCAGTGGGTATTTGGGGCTGCAAGGATTGTGGCAAAGTCAAAGCAGGCGGAGCTTATACATTGAAGTAATAATCCTATCAGACATTCTTATTTTCCACTTTTCTCTTGCAAGCTGCTAATGCCTTTTTCTTTTTTNGAGCTTATACATTGAAGTAATAATCCTATCAGACATTCTTATTTTCCACTTTTCTCTTGCAAGCTGCTAATGCCTTTTTCTTTTTTGTTTTTACCAATGCAATAGCACTGCTAGTGCTGTGACAGTTAGGAGCACCATTCGGAGGCTGAGGGAGCAAACTGAGAGTTGAGCTGGCAGTGGTCCTTCATATGTTGATTTTGATACATGTTTACTAAGTGTTGAAATTAGACTTTGGCTACTTTCAGTATCATTTAAGAATTTTGAAGAATCACTTATTATAGTTGGGACACAATGGAAAATGTTGGACCAGAGTCGTCGTTTGAAACAATTATTACAATTCTCTCATGTGTGATATGAATTTGTAATTGCTTTGATTTTTGGTTTATCAGCTGCTACTTTTGTTCTTTTTATTGTCTGTGATATAACTTGAAGTTATTGTGCATGGTATGTCTTCAAAGGTGGGTTCTTGATTTCACCTTATAACAGGAACTTCACTAATTACGATTTTTGGCCAGAGTTTCTTGATTCTGTAATTGCTTGAATTGGTTTCTTGATTCTGTATCGCAGCTGGAATATTCATCTTGTAGCTTCATGTCCCTTGAAATGGAGGGGAAAGCTAGAACAGCTTTGCCGTTATCTCCACCTAATTTTTTTTTTTTTTAAAATTCGGGTACATAAAATTTGCCAAATTTTGCCGGTTTCCACTTCAGATGATCCCTTGGAGCCTAGCATTGTAACAGAAGTGGCCACTCAAATCATCCCAATGTCAGCATCATTTGCTGATGCACTGCCATGTTTATGATCACTATATTAATGCACATTGTAATGTTTATGATAGTATCTTTGCACGAACAAAACATCCCGTCTGTGAATTGCATCTCTTCTAGGAATGTGAAGTGTTGAAGCTGCTACCATTCTGCTAGTAATGTTTCTTAGATTTACGTCTCAAAGGGTGCTTGGATCAGATTTGTTACCATTCGAAATCAGTAACATGTCAAATGAATTTGTGCCTATGGTGTAGCAACTGGGATCCCCTTACTCCCTGCGAGCACAATTTTTCGTAGGTAAGGTTTTTTGAACAGTGTTCGGGTGGAAGACTGGAAAAGGTATATTTCAATCCAGTAGCCATGAAAGCTTTACTACTGTGAAAGCATTTGGTATGACCTTGAGAAATGTAAATCTGCAGCTGTTTTGATGATGGTAGTAATAATCTACGAACCCTAGCCAGCACAATCATTCATAAGAGCATTGAGCACTATTGAACAAAGGCATTCTTCGGTCCAATACAACAATAACTTTGCCAATTTCTTTCAGGCACAAGTAAGAAAAAATGACTAGTAATTACACTTACAGGTGGACGGAAAACAAGTACATACAAAACCTGCACTAACCTCAAGCATTTCAGTGCTATCCTTCACTCACACTATACATTAATTCCTAAAAAATGTACATATAATTTAAGTACAAAGAAGAGAACCCATCTTGCTCCTCAATCAGCCATTTTCTCGAACTGAATGGGGTTCCAAGCAGGTGTACCTTGCAGTTGCATCATCTCTTTGACAAGAAAAAGAAATAAAGAAGCAAAAAAGATAACTAACCTAAAAAAAAAAGAAGCAACACATAAAACTGAAATAGGTTCTCGTTTGTAGCTTGTATTCCTTTTGCTTTAGAGGATCAGTCAATTGGTATGGGTAAATCGCCATTATTATCTTTGTGATACATTTGGCTTTGGACAGCCTTCACCGCTGCAACTCTTGCTGCATTGGCTGATTTGTTTGCTGCTGCTACAGCTCTCTTCACCCTTTCATCCACCTTTGCCACGTCAACTGCTTTCTTGGCAGCTCGCCGTGCTTCCTGATAGCAAGGCAGCAACAGTAAAAAACTAACACCGGTAACTGTTTAATGGTTAAGGTGGCAAGTGATGCTGGCAAATATAAGAAGCACCTTAAGCTCAGCCAAAATAAATGTTAGTATTTTGATGTTGATGGTATGAAATCATTCTGAAAGTCCAAGACCAAGAGCAAACAAATGCTAAAGCTCAAAAGTTTAAAGATGCTAAAGCTTATGATCTGAACTAGTTGATGGAACTCATCTCCCTCCCAGCTATATAATTTTTGTAGAATTTTTATGTTAACCAAATTTGTATGACCGACTGACGAACAAGATCTACGAAGTTCTATCAGCAATCTGATTCTATGTAGGTGATCGACCAGTAAAGGCTTCAAGCCAAAGGAAGAAATTGGATGACAGTGGAGAAGTTAGACCCCGACATCCCAATGTGTCTTTTTTTCCTTAGTTGTTCACAGCTTGACTCTAATATATGGAGCAGAAGTCACACAAGCTAAGGCTTTCAGCGGTGGTTGAACTCCACGAGTGCTCTCTTCCTGGCTTTAGGATGTAATGATTTACGTTCCCATTACATCTATGTTCCCCCCTCAGGGAATTAGATGCTTTCTCCAACCCTGGGCATAGCTAAAAGAGGGATTGGCGAAGAACCATTAAAGTCGGCTAATTCATCTTTCCTTCAAAGCGCTGTCCTTTGTTTTGGTGAGTTCAATTTTGTTGCTACTATAAGTGAGCGAGAGCAGATTGGGGGTTTGAAGAAAAACAAACATGAAGCTTCATTCCTCAGAAAGTGTTCACTCCTTTTTCGCCAAGTTTCATTCGATTTGTTGTGGATTGAATGAAGGAAAAACGAGCAAGCTATGCACTTTATGAGACTTTGTAGGCAGTAGGTTTGCAGCTCTAGAGGCCACAAAAGCATAATTGCTGACAGCGCATCATAACCTAGTCCAGTAATCTAGGTTTCAGTTTATTTGACTTCCATGGTTTCCCTCTCTTGAAAAATACAAAAACAAACACCACCAAAAATGTCAAGAGTTACGACAATTTCATTTCAACGCCGAACCCCCTTTTTCAAGAGCGACTCCTTTTCCAGTCAATTAGGCCATGTGCATTCTTAGAACCAGTATTCAAGACTTGATAAAGGGATGGGAAAAATGCAACAAGAAAAATCCTTTCACAATGAAGGCAATAAATTCAGTTACCTGGACTGCGTGAAGAACTTTGGCATGGTCAACTGTGAAGGGAGATTCAGGAAGGGTGTCTTGAGAGCTCGAAATATTGAGAACCCCATTTTGCCAATGACCCGATTGAGTCTCCCCAGACATGAAAGTGTACAGACCAAGCCCTTGCCTTTTCCCCTCGTGCCAGGCACCTTCATAGCGGTGTCCATTTCCAAATCGATAGACCCCAAAACCATGCATCTTGTCAGCAAAATATTCTCCAGCATATGTATCCCCATTTCTGCATAATCACATACAGCATTAGAGAATCATGGAGTCATGAATTTTTTTCCCTGTTCATGCAGTCATGAATTAAGCGCATGAGCATGACTAGAGGCATTTATATCTTTAACGACAATTACAAAACTGACCTTGAAAGTCTAGACAATAGTTGTGTTAAAGCCGGGTGCAGAGTAGTATGCTTCAAACTGGTACTATATTTGTTTTTTTCCTTCTCTTGGCAAACTTTTTAAATTATCAATGTAAAGTTCAGGACTTGAGCACAATAGTAGAGATTTTACGGTAACAATCACAAGCAATACACAATGAGCTTGTGATTAAACTAAGACCAACAAAACCATTTAAGGGGTGCCTCTGTACCAGAGAACTGTCGCTTCAGAAAACCTCAATTGGCTTTCTCCTGGGCCTCAGTAAAACTTGTCCAAGGACAGGGGCAAGAGGGGCGTTTATGGATCCAAAAGACTATACCAAAAGGCTATCCCTTGAGCTGACCGTAAGGGCCATAACTGCATGATTATCAGTATATCAAAACCCATTCTATGTTAATGGACATCTGTGCCAGCCTTAAGGGCTTGGCTGGATTGAACCCAGCCTACAAAAGTCTTTGGCTTGGGATGAAGTTCTCAGACACAGATGGTCTGCAGATCCTCAGAGCAAAATGGTTTATCCTAATCATGAGCAAACTAGTTTTCTTTCTTTCCCCTTTTTCCCATTTAAGCAAGGAAGTGGAGGACAGGAGGAGGTTTCAATTACAAAAAAGCTAATTGATTGAGAAATCAACTCGATAAAAACACAAAACAAGAAAAGGAACAAGAACTTGAGAATTTGAAATCATACTAGCAACCAAATTAGGTTCGATGCATCCAAGTGTGTACCATTTGACACACCAAAAATCAATTGGCAACTAACCTAGGTTCAACTCATCTAAGCATGTACCATTGGACAAACTATCTCATAATGATAGGATTCTGGTGTGGGCTGCCCATCAAGAACCCAAAAGCATCCAATGGGCTCGATGGTTACATGATAGCCCAAGTTACCCCTTCGCAGCCCATCTGCTCCGTAATAGGAATGGGCCGTAATTCAAAGAAGGGGGTCCAACAGAGTGCAGGTCGGCACAATCCTGCTCAATCATGACAAGCTCAGCAATAAGCAGCTCGGAAGAAATAAGTTCGGTATTCACTGGATCCCGAACACCTTCCATCACGCCACGTGTCCGAAGGACAGCTTTTGGAGCCACTAACGAACACACACTCACTAAAAAAGGGAATATTTGTGCACATTCCAATGAAGGGTCATGGAAATGATTTGTGTCAAAATAACGGTCACGACAAAAAGGAGGAGACCACAGAATCAATCGAGGGAGGCAGAAGATCGCCAAAAAACACTAGATAACTACTTGTATATATAATACCCTCAATGTAAAAGAGAGACATATGAGAGAAAAATCTATACTCACAAGACACTGTTCACACTAGTTCTAAGCTAAAAAAATCGGTTGTAATCTTCTTCTTCAAGCAATACAGACCCTACGGAGCAAGAACTTCCGTAAACGTAGCCCTGGTCCTTCGGCTAGGGTGAACTACTTATATATTGTTCTTTGATCTCATTTCTTCATACTTTTTCTCTGTTACTTTAGAGTATTCACCCCCCCCAAAAAAAAAAAAAAAAACACCTCATTAAACATTGTTCTGGACTTGGGCTGTGCATTTTCGAGAACTATCAGTATCCATATGAAGATGACTCAGGTATGAATTGCACCCTAACTAAAGATTCGAAGAATACAATTCCTCAAACAGAGATAATTACAAAATTCAACTGATTTAATATTTTGCACTGCATTGGCACACTGGTAAAGATGTTGAGCTCATGAGCCTGAGCACGAAACCAACTTAGGCACTACATAGCCACCATATCCAACTTCAAATCACAAAAAACGTATAGTGTATCCCGAAGGAACACCGTGGAGTTCAAAACCCTATATGCAAAAATCCATCAACCCCCTACCCTGAAAAGCAAATTCCTCCAAGAGAACTTCAGAAAAAACGAAAAAGGACAGACTAAATGCATTGGCTATTAACATAACAAACAATATGGAAACATAATTACCACAATTAAGATCTTAAATTAAAAAAAAAACTCCTATGGATATGATTATGCAAATCCTATTGATATCGATCAATTGAAGGATTCAACAAACTTTAACTTGAAAATTCACCTGAAATTGTAATGGCCAAGCCCATGTTTGACCCCCCACTTAAACTCCCCAACATAACAGCTCCCATCCTCAGAATTATGAACTCCACACCCATGAGACTGCCCATTACACCACTCTCCAGCATAAACATCACCAGTGTAAAACCTATACACACCATAACCATGCCTCAGTCCCTGCCTATACTGCCCGCGATATCGACTCCCTTTGGCCCAAGTCTCAACACCATACCCGTCAAACTTCTCATCAACCCAATCACCCTCATACTTCCCACTCATATGATAGTAGTACACCCCACTTCCAGAGCACTTCCCTTTGTGGAATTCACCTTCATAAACATCTCCACTGCTATAAACTCGAACCCAAGACCCGGAATTCGACCTTTTCTCCGATTTGGGCTTCGACCCAATTGACCAAACCACTGTAGGATGGGGCTTTGTGGCAGTGTTTGATGAGGAAAGCTTAATGCACAGTGTGCGGGCAAGAAATAGGCGAATTGAAGGAAGGCGAGGAAGAGCAAGACTGAAAGAAATCACGAGAATAGCTGAAAAAGCAAGAACATATAGAAAATAAAGAAGAAAGGACCACTTATGATTTGAGGTGAAGACGTAAAAGGAAGGCAAAGAAAGAAGAATGAAAAGCTTCATATGGACTCTAAGCCACCGGGTATGGCAAGAATGGTGAATCAGTTTGAAAGTCAATTTTTTCGTGGCCAAAATTACTGGAAAAGAGGCAGAACAGAGAAAGGATGATTGAAAAGATTGTGAGTCAAACACAGAGGCTTTTTGGTGGTGGAGGGAAGTAAGAGTTGGGGAATGCGCAAGAGTTGAAGGAGATTGAGACATTACAGGTCTTTTGTGGGGTGTTGAAAGAACGGTTTTGTTTGTTGATGAATTGTTGGAAATGGACTCATTCTTAAAATGGGTTTGATGGGTTGGTGTTGATGGCGTTGAAAGGTATGATGATGGGTACAGAAGTGAGGAAAAAGTTGGGATTTTGACACGCAGATCGTTTTGCGATCGAATTTGGATGTGTTTTTGATGGAGTGAAGGAATGAAACTAGGTGGGTTTGTTGGGTTGAAATCGGAAGAGAAAGAGAGGGAAGGGTTATCTTTTCCGATCGAAAACTCAAATTTCTTCTGATGCATTTACGCATAAGAGAGAAAGAGTGGATTTCTTCCGCTGCTCACCCTACTNTATCTTTTCCGATCGAAAACTCAAATTTCTTCTGATGCATTTACGCATAAGAGAGAAAGAGTGGATTTCTTCCGCTGCTCACCCTACTTGTTTATATTTCCAGTTTTTTCTCTGAACTCTGTACGTGTCTTGTGTGCAGTTAGGTGGGTTTTCTGTGTCATTCTCGTCTAACTTCTTCGCATCTTTATCCGTGGGTGTACGGGTGAATTGATGTTTTTGGTTCGAGTAATGTTTAATGGATATAAAAATTAAATTTAATAATTTTAATTATTGAATAAATAATGAATTTTAATAAACGCTGAGAGACGTAATAAAATTAGTAATTAAGATTATTAAGTGTAATTTTTATATTTATTTTTTAAATTTATTTTATATTTTTATATTTACTTTTTAAATTCATTTAATATTTGCTCGGTTTGAGTTTGTTACTTGGGTTTGGGTGATGACGATGCCTGGTTAACGAGTGACAGAGTATTTTGAACCCATCTTTTTAAATGAGTCGAGCCCAAAACGTTGAATCCGAATTTATCAATTGGAGTGGAGCTTACAAAATTATTTAAACTCGAATTGTTTAGAAATAAATTGAGTCAAAAATGAACTAAATTTGAGTCCAAAATAAGTCGAAGTCGAGTGATTCGACTCGATTATTAACCCGAGGGACTACGGTTTCTTTTTACATTAATGATTCAAATTTTATTATTAATTTTTTTTAGAATAAAAAAGAGCTTAACTGAAATAAAACATCTGTTTGAAATCGCAAACGCTCTCAAAGATCTACTCGAGCCATAGTTTAATTTCGCATCACTTTGTCGTTAGTAAGAGCGATTGGAATAATCCCTCGGAGTCGAACCTTTCTTGTTATCTCTGGCTCTGGATTTTTAGTACTCGTATTTAACATTGTCTACTTTGAATTGAATTGAATTGAATTTTAATTCAAAAATTTTGGACTATTTGATCTAATTCGATACAAACATCTCAATTAAGTTGAATTGTAACAAATTGCATCTAAATCAATTTTAACTAATAATTACTTAATTTTATTACATTTTATATACACATGTATAATTTTTACATAACAAACATTAATATATTTAAATTTGTATACGTGAATAATGATTTACAAGATTTGAATTCAAATTCTCGATTAAAAATGTCAGTTCACTTCTCGTTAACATCATTCATATTACGATCAAAATCAGATTCATTAGCTTGCTTATTAACAATTTACATTCAATCATGTCTGTCTTTAGTTAAGGATGGAATCACGATTTTATCCAGACGGGGCCAAGTATGGTTATAANAAATTCATTAACTTGCTTATTAACAATTTACATTCAATCATGTCTGTCTTTAGTTAAGGATGGAATCACAATTCTATTTAAGAAATTATCGTTATAAACAAACTTACAATGTACAGAATATATCATGATCAACGTTTCTACACTACTTTTGAAAAAAAATTGTTTTATACTTATCATCATAAAATTTGATGCTTCATTTTGGGAACAAAAAATTTTGATAGCTCGTTATATGTCAAATCATTAAGTTTTTTTTAAATATAATAAGAGAATTATCTCACAAAATTTTTAAAAATCTAATGAAAAGAATAATTTTATTTAAGGGTACATTTTATTTGGGCCCCTTGAAGTTTGCCACTTAATCAGATGGGATCCCTCAGGTATTAAAAATAACACTGCCACCCCCTGCTAATACCGTAAACTTAACAAAAATGATGAAATGACTACTTTACCCTTTAACAAAAAAAAAAAAATCTAATTCTAACTCTCGACACACAAACCCAAAACATAAAAATATATGTCCTTCCTCACCCCTACATACTACCAGCACCATTGCCTCGGCACACTCAATTTCACAGCACCACTGGCACCATCCTCATCCTCTCACGCTCCGCTTAGCAGCACCACAGGCCACCAATAGGTCCAATGCAACCCATCACAATGCACAGATGAGAGCGAGATTGGTAGGCCATCAAAGGGTAAGAGCCCTAAGATCCGAAAATCTCTGATCCAAAAAACTCTTAAAGATCTACAAATCTCATTAAACGACACAAGACCCGTTCAAAACGGAAGCTCCGGGTCAAGGGGGGAGATTCAATTCACGAGTCCTACGTATTTATATATAATTAGTTGGTGATATGAATCTTATTCTTTTATAATATTTCATTAAATTTCCTTTCTTTTTTTTTTAATAATAAAACGGATATTAACACGAGCAATGTTACTTGGACTCTAAAAGTTAATACCATTTGTTGACTTCATTCATCACTATCATTGATTTAATTGTGAGTCTAAATATTTATTAGAACTCGTCACCTACTCAATGGTTATGATCGATAAAGTCGACAAATAGTATTAACTTTTAGAGTTCATATAACATTTCTCTATTAACATATCTTTTATTTTAATTATCTTATTCAAAATTTATAACTTTTAAGGTTAAGTTAGAACTAATAAAGAAAAAGTTATAACTGTTTAATGGACGTTTATGTTCGATCACGAGTATTTATAATTGATCATAGTCTTTTTTTTGGGTAGGAAACAAATTTGTTTTGTTTTTTCTTTCAGTATGGTAGACTTTTCATGTACAAGTAGGGCAACAAGGGGAGATTAGGCAACATAATGATGGATAAGTTCAAATTGCACGTTCCTTAAATTACAAGCATGTCTGTAACTCTATACCCCAGACCACATGGTACCAACCTTACAAAGGGGTTTTGTGGACCTTCAGACTCAGACTATTTGAATCTTATCAATATCTTTATCTGAATGGTGTTCATTCCCAGTCATGTCCGATGGCTATTAGCTCTCGTCGAATATTTTTTTATTAGCGAAATTATCTATTATTAATGACAAATGGATTCTTTAATGATCTGCTAAGAAGAAAATTGAAAAGAAAATATAATAGAGAAATCTCACTATGTCCAGCTAATTTTTTTTGGACTTGATTACGGTACCCAAAAAAAAAAAATTCGGTACCGTATCTCTAAAATTTACTACTTTAATAGGTGTTTTTACAATTTTTGTGAACCATTTTTACAATAAAAAATTTTATCGCTTTTGTCGGTGATTTATAACTTTTATAAGTGTATTTACTACTGTGTGAATATTTTTACGATTGTTATGATAACTGTTATTATCACTTTTGTGGTATTTTACGATTAATCCTAAAAATGTGATCAAAATAATTGCGATAAAAATAGTCATAAAAATTATAAATGTTGATACAATACTTTTTTTTTTTTTTGATACCATCGATAACTCTATTCCTTTTTTTAACTTCTTTTCTTCTTTTTCATTTTTTTTTACTCTTTTTTTTTGTTAATATGGTGGGGCCTATTATGAAACTTTCCATGTCACTTCAGACAATGAAGTAATGAACCAGAAGAGAAAAGAGGTCCCATATCATTATCGTACACGTTGTCCCTTAGCCAAACTGGGGAGCCTCCATTTGACATGAACAAGTCGGTGAAGGGTACCATTTTACTCCCATTCCAGCAATTCATGGATCTATCAGCATCAAACATGAATCCTCACTCATCCATAGTACCCTTCAATGATAATATTCATATTCATATTTCCAATTGGACACTAATTCAGATGGGTCATTTTTTTCAACAGCCAAAAAATTCGGATCAACTTATACGAACATCAATTAATTTTTCTTTTTTGTTTCGGTTAAATGCAAGTCATCTACTTTGTGATTAAAAAATTTATAAGAGATAAATCATTTCATAACTTATCTTCAAAGAGTATCAAGATTTAAACTTAGAACGTTTAACTTTATACTCGTTTATGTTATTAATTGAATTATCCTTGAGATTAATTCGGATGGGTTTCGGGCAGCTGTGATTGATTTTTAGTTGCAATTTATTTTTCTTCCAAATTGTCAAGAACTTGAGTACTTGGGAGATAGAGGGAAGAGAGCACAAATCAAGATTACGAACAACCTAGTAGAGAGAGTTTGAATCTAAGATCGTAAAAGATTTCTTTTTTGTTCGGGTTTACTAGATATGCATAACTTATAGTTGATTACATGTATTTAGAGTGTATATTAATATCATAAATCTATAAATCCAAATAACACGTGATTAAAAAAATTGTCGATTTTCTTTAAAAAAAAAAAAACCCAAGAATGTTATGTGAGTCAGCTAAATAGAGACTAGAGCTCGCATACATTGCATCTAATTACCCAAAAGAGGGATAAGTATTACCTGCCAAACCAAATGGTTTGGCCATTATTCATGTATTTCTTCTCTCTCATCCAATATTTAATTGGTTGTGAACAAAAAAAACAAAAGCAATAATTTTTGGATGAAGCTTCCACACATCTATGATTATGCAATTGGGTTGCCATACACTTTGTTCTTATCCACCTCTCCCCTCTCCTTTTCATCCCCATTCACTCTACCATGTCCCCTCATTCCTTAAAGGGACATTAACATCATCTTCATCATGTATGTCCTGTTAGTTTTGTTACTTTGGAAAGGGAAGCAAGGGCAAATGCAAAATCTTGTTTTTTTTTGGTGACATATGCTTTTGGACCCTATACCAATGTTTGGTATCATATCGAAAATCTAATGAATTATGATTCAATCAAATCAAGTTACAATTGATCAATTCAAAATTGAAACTTAATTTGATTCAAAAAAATTGAAATCTGATATCATTAAGTGATTGTTTAACCTATTTATGCAGTAACTTAGTTCAATTAGATTATAACTTTGTACTCATAGGAAGAAGTGAGTTTTGATACCATAAAAGGGGAAGACTAATTACATTTGATGGGAGGGTTGAGAAAGCTGAAAATGGCTTTAGTCATCCAATTATCTTTTTCTCTTTATTTTTGCTTTTCAACAGACAAACTCTTCTAGCCATTTTTGCTGTGCTTGTGCAATGTCCACATCACGAATAGAACAAGAAACTAACATTCATTCTAAGCATTTTTGTTGATTCTTGCACTAGTTGCTAACTTTTTGAAAATTTTTTATTTTGAAAGCAACCTTGGGGTTTTTAACCTTATCCTTAACCAAAATATATAAGAAAAAGAAGGGATGACCAAATGACAATTGGGACCTTCTCGACCTAAGGGTTATGTTGGGTTCGAGTCTCCTACCATCCCTCTCGGTGTAAGGAAACTCGCACACAATCAATCATGACAATACCCGATGAGAAATAAAACGATTCCTCTACCAGAGCATGACACATACGTACTAACAGTGAAATACCGAGGGAATTAACCGACGTTGAAGACAAAACATGTAAGAGCATGTCCTGACATGCGAATTTAAAAAAATGTAGCCTAGAGTCGAGCATTTAACTCCAGACAGGGATATGGGTCCACCATGATGCAACATGTCACAGAGAATGATTTTTTCTATAGATAGATCATATCAAAAGGTTCCTCGAATCTCAAAAAATTTGAATAAAATATATAACTCTTACTGACGTAAATATCTCAGGGGCACGCGAACCAAATATTCGGTGTCAACACAATGAGTGCTCGACATAATTCAATAAATATCCTATATAAGTCATTTAATGCTGAAGGGACGTGTATTGAGTGCTTGATGTCTTAGATAAGATAGTCAGTACAAGACTAAACACCTAAAAAAAAGGCCAACATCCCTCGTGCCTAGTAATTGCACAGCTTGAAAAATGTATCTCACTGATAAAAGTATCTCATTGACGATTCCCCTAAGGAAATTCCCTCAAACAGTTTGATGGACCCCTATGTTGCCACATTATCCTACTATAACATATAAATTGCCAAATAAATTAGGTCTACGCAACCTAGTAAAAGTCTTATCATCCCTTTGACCATTAACTGACTTAAACATCGAAAAAGATAAATTGAACACATCTCCAACCCCTTCTGATCTTGTTCTCTGTTCACTTTCAATTTTCCCAAAAAATAAATTATAGAGGAGAAAGTTTCCCAGATATAAATTAATGATATTGTGATTATTGAAAGAAGTTAATGTTATTTGGTCATAGATACAATAAATCAATTCAAAGACATGATATACCATACGACAATTACCAAATCAAACCGATAAAAGGAAGAAAAGATTGATATTAACCAAAATAACAATTAAAAAAAATCATTTTGTAAGAAGAATACTTAAATCAATAACAACAGGGGTGTAGTTTCTTGCAGTCTTCATTTGTTCCTCAATATGCAAGAATTTAACAAAAACAAGCATCATTGACAAAAATACATTAGCGAAAAAAAACACACGATACAAACTATGGAGAGTGAAATACAACCGTGGGATGTCACTACTTGCAACAAACAGACATCGACCACAATGCAAAACCATAATGTTAGAGAAGAAGACATTACTACGAGGAAATTTAGCAACATACTTCAACTGCCCCAACAAAAAGAAAAGAAAGTTTTTTCTCTTCTTGCAAGGTGAAAAGGAAGTTTACAGCAGCTCTTGGAAAAAAGCAGCAAGGCTGAACTACCGAGAAACTACCTTGAGATACTTGCCGAGAAAAAAATAGCTTGAGAAGTAATTCTAGTAACTTTCTTCAGATATTTTCCACACAATATATGAAAAACAATATCTTGGGGAGCTCTGAACTTTAGCTGTATTGTCAAAAGTTACCTCCTAACAGAAGCAAGAAAATTGAAAATCAAACAGGTATGAAAGGAGCTCCAACCACAACAACAGCTTGAAAATTCGAACACAAGAGGCAGCTTGCGACTCATCATTACTTGTGAACCTTGAACCCAAACACTCTAGGTACATAGCTCTGTGCCGCCTTTTGTGGCTTGAGGTGCCCATAAGTCATTAAGAACAGGTTAGGAAATGTTGTTCCGAAATAGGAGCCATCAATGTCTAGGTACAGTTAAAGAAACAACCGGGGACAACAAAAGCCATGCACAAGACAAATTGTATAAACTGATGGTAGCTGCTAATAAACATTGTTAAAGTCCAATACAAACTTACAGAATGATGCACCCTTCAAGCAACAAACCCTAAAACAATAAGGTGTTTGGAAGTCAAACACTAGAAAGTAATTGGCTGATTTAGATACATCAGTTCAAACATTACCAATATTTGCTGCAACAAGAACATGCAGAGATTCCTACATAATTCTTAATTACAATATCTAATATCCTTCAAGAGTAATAATTAAAGAAGATGCATGAAAACTACAGGCGTTAACTATAGATCTGTGTTGAAAATATTATTTCTTATGACAATAGTCAGCAGAAGAAAAAGATCATTACCCAATGTTCCTCATTAAAGGATCCTGGGAGAGGTAAACTGGGTAGAAATCATTACCCAAAACTCCTCTGCACATAAAATGGTTGCCATCATATTCCAGTTCATACCTTCTGATTGTTAACCGGATACTTCTATTACTGCACAATGTACTACGTGATTTATTGAGAAAATCACATTAAAAAATCATTTTTCATGACAATAGCAACCTTCACCAGAAAAAAAAAATTGCAAAATCATATCTACTGGTTTTGTTCATAGGTCAGCTAATTTTTATTTTTTCTTCTTGATAAATCATTAGGTGAAAAAGTTTTGATTATCCTCCTTCACTGCATTGTAAATCTTTTATCTGGGGGAAATTGAATTGGTGATGCTCAAAAAAAGAATTGGTGATGCTCATCTTATCCATATAAAAATGATTTTGGGCTACTAAAAAGGAGTCAAATCCACATTACGTGGTGGGGGGTAACACTGAACTTTAAGATCATACGTTCTGTAGATTTGTAGTGGAATGTTCGTGTGTACTCATTCCATTGATATGCTGAATGGGTGTGGGTATTCTGATTTTCATGAATCTTAAAACAACAAACAATCAAAAGTAATTTTGAAAACAGCATATCAACTGTTTGACTTGCATTGCTCGGCCAAATTCTGAAAACAATATGCATGCCATTTTTTCAAATTTTCAGACTTTAGTGAATATTTAACATAAGTATAAATTTTGGATGATTGCTCCAGAATATGTCCGGTGACAAGGACCAGAAAGTCACACAATGCATTGAGGAGGCAGTTTAAGGCAAAACTTTATATCATTCAAACAAAATTTCAAATACCAAGTTTGAACATATTTTGACTGAAACCGAGACTCTATACTGTGAAGTCAGGTGCATTTTTTATTGATTCCAAGGAACTCTGGGGATCAAATCTACCCCTAGTGCTATGCAGGTCCCTTGGTTTATGAGAAATGCAAAATGATAAATATATACCGCATTCTAGCTTGACAAATGAAATAGACATCATTGAAAGATGAGAAGAAAACACAAAACAGATTAATTTCAAGAAAGGATACTCTTAGAAATTAAAACACATTAATTTCAATGCATGGTCTGTGGTGTCAATACTAAGCACTTGCAAAAACTGAAAGAAAGGATACTCTCTTGAAACCTGGATCGAGGGGTGTAAATATCTTCACACTTGGGACAGTAAATTTTCACGGTGTTTTGTCGGGGAATGTCCATCTGACCAACAGGAAGGCAGGGTTGTCCACAGCAGTAAACTCTTGGGCATCTCCCGAACTCTGCATTCTTGTACTTCTCTAGCTGTAAAAATTCAGCAAGGGCCCCCATTATAATAGCCATGGAAGCACACCCAGTAAACTGATCAATCAAATTCTCACCATAGCAGCCATTCCTTTAGTTGTTAATATGTATCGGACATGAATCAGACCATAAAGCATCTCAGCCGCTGATTCAACTAATTCATTCTGTTCCTCTGTAAACATATCACCTACACATTTCAGCCAATCCTATCCCTCGTTGGTAACCAAAGGAGTGATGAAGATTACGTGAACATCACCAAAAAATGTAAATTTTAAGCCCAAAGAATACATATGGAAAATGCTGTCAGGTTGAATGCAAAATTCAAAAATCTGAGATTAGCTACAACAAAGAAACAAAGCCAATTTTTCAAACACGGTAAATAAAGGCTACAATTATACATGGATTTTCAAGAGCTGTACCAACTACAAATAATTTTTGGTGTCGTGTTAATTCACATCACATGTGCAACATTTGAACTCGAAGAACACTTGATTGTGGAAAATTATTAACAATGAAACCAGAAAACAAATATTTAAGAGTTTACGTTTACAGAACTGAAAGCAGTAGATTCTCTTGTCATCGTTCTTACAAATTTCTAGTTCAAATGAAGACAAATTTGAATATTGCAAAGAGCGTAAAATCCTTAAGTTATCAATTTATTACTTTAATGGGAGAGTTAATAATGAGATAGTTATTGATTTTTCTGCATGTACCTCAGTTACCATGTGGGGTGGATAGTGTGGCGTCTTGAGGTAGCGTCCAATGTTCAAAACTACACATTTATGATTTATCCTTTTTTCCATGTAAGACGACACAATTTGTTGTTCGTTAACAATTTGGTGTCATAGGGCCTGACGGACCTTACAAGCAAATGTATTCCACCTTCATGTAATAAGTTGACTAATATATCAGCCATGTACTACTAAGCTGTTAATTTTAAAACCACTTCAACAAAAGAGATTTTTTCATTTCGGCTCGCCAGATACCAAAATCTTAAGGAAAGACGCATCACAATAAATTTACTTAGAAAAACCAACTTACCATGAGAGGATTCAACATCCAAAATCAAATCAAGTGCATAATCATAATATGGAACTTGGCTGCTTAAACCACAGAGGTTAAAGTCATCTTGGATGTAATCATCATCAACTTCACAGAAGAACTCATTCCCCCGCAGATTGCAAAACCATGAGATCCAAGATGTGTCATCGCCATCAGAACCACTAACATCCGACTCCTCACTGTCTGTTTCAGATTCCTCAGCTATAAATGCACATAGGGGAAAATGTCAGCGAAGATGAGATGTCAAGAATGACTGAATTTAAGAATGACGAGCAGACAGGGGCTAGGGTGGATGGGAATTGGCTACTGAATCTTTACAAAACATGAGTGTAATGCATGTTATAGAAATAAATTAAATCTTCTCTTTTCAAAAATATAAGTAGCCACACATAATAAATACCAGCAGTGACATATTGTCTGACTCTTGTAACTGTCTCACAAATGACACAAAAGTACAAAAATAAATAATGCATACTATGGAACAGCATTGCCTGCACTTGATAGTGCTCTTTTGCAGGAAACTGAAAGTTGCAAACAAGAGATATATTTGTGTGTGAAAGACAACTAAAAACAATTAAGTAATGAATGAAAACAAGCAGTCCAAGAAGCAGACGACTAACCCTACACATCAAGAATTTTTTTCTGTGCATGTAACACACCACATGGCAGTGTCAGGTGGTGTTCACCATTAAACATTGTACATTCACAATAAATGACTGCCACCTATCACTTTGTCAGCAAATGTTCTGAAAAAACCAATTGTGTCTGACAAGCTAATGTTGTGCACACCACTTGACACTGTCATGTGGTTTGTATACCACACTGAATTTTTTTTTTTTTTGCACATCCGTGTGCCTTTGACTTCTGTGCATACATAAGTAGCAGCACAAATGCAGTATGCTTCCCCAGTTAGTGGTTCCGAATAGACAACATTTGCACATTTGAGGGATAAAATACTAGTTTTTATGTACTTTGCAATCCTATAAATTCATCAGTGATAAGAGACAACACAAACAAGTTTGCATGAACCTGGATAATTGAGAGCAAAAGATAAAAAAAAAAAATCAAAAAGTACTAACTATAGCTCCTAAATCAATTTTTTTTAAATATAATCTTTGAGTTGTCCAGCAATTTTTTTCAGGGGATTTAACCAATCAATAGAAACAACTTCACCCCATTTTGCCAGAATCCAACTGAAAATGTAACAATTCAAGAAAATCCCTATCACAATGACCCAAATAAACTAGTACATGAGCATGGAAAATCAATCAAATACTATCAGAAAAGAATGATGAATGAAATCCACAGCCACACAAATCAAAATTACACAGCCACACACAGGAATATACATATGTAGAAGTACTCTATGAGCATTTTTTATTGACGAGAGATGCAGAGCGAGAATCCCTAAGATCGGGAGCTGGCTTTGACTTTCCGGAAGGAACAGCTAGCTCGCTTAAGGATGGAAGGATTGATTTGTGTGTGTGCTCGGAGTTTTATCGTGGTATATGGGTACACGTGGTAGATGAATAATATATGAAGGGCCATTGAAGATTTTAGATTTCCCTGAGCACGATGCTCGAGGATTGTGCAATGGTGTGGAATAAAATTAGAGTAGAAAAATATTATTTGGATTTTATTTAAAAACGGAGATCTAATCCATTGCCGTTGTTGAACAACCTATGCTCAACGGAAAGTGATGATGGAATGTTAGAAATTGTTCAGTTTAAAGTCAATTTCATCTGTCCATCGGCTTCTCTCCATATAAACCAATCTTCTAACGGAACTCAACAATTATAGCCACGAGCTGAGCATTCACTAGAACATTGCGCTGAGTACCCAGGTACATTGTCAAAATGCAAGGCAACAGTTTACACTGTTAGGCTCTTCATTGATTTTTGGGGCTTTTGTATTCCTCACTTCTTATGAGCATCACTAACACTTTTCCTGCAACCTAGACCAGTAGCACAAATGCAGTATACTTCCCCAGTAAGTGGACAACATCTTCACTTCTGAGGGACAATATATATGTTTTTATGCACTTTGCGATCCTAAAAAATCACCATTGATAAGAGACAACACAAACAAGTTTGCATAGACCAGCATAATTCAGATCGAAAGGTGTAAACAAGAAAAGGAAAAAGTATTAAACTATAGCTCCTGGATCAATTTGAAAGAAAATGCATTTTTTTTTAATTGCCAGGCAATTTTTTTCATCGGATTCAACCAATCAATAGGAAAAAATTCACCCCATTTTAACAGAATGCAACGGAAAATGTCACAATTCAAAATAAACCCATATCATAATCACTAAATAAACTTGCAAACCACAATTATTCACACACACATAAATGTGTATATAGAAGTACCATCGGAGCATTTTTTATCGACGAGAGACGCAGAGCGAGAATCCCTAGGATCGGGGGCTGGCTTTGACTTTCCGGTTAAAATCGCCTTGCCGTTCATTCCCTTTGACGTTGACGGAGACGATCGCTCCAAGTGCTTGTCTAGGGCTTCGTTGATTCTCTTCCGATCAACTTGTCCCATCTCCGATTTCGATCCACCACCTCTTTCTCTATACATCTCTCCCTCTCCTCTCCCCAGCTATTAACCACTTTTTTTCAGCCCCAAAAAATCGAAACACAACGTAAAATACTGAAATTAAATGGAGTTTAGAGAGAGGGGGAGAGAGATGAGGGTTTTGGTGAGGGTGGGAAGAGAAAAATTAGGGTTTTGGGTTGGGGATTGAAAGAGAGAGCTAACCCATTCTCTCTCTTCTCTCTTCAGGGGTCGTTGTCTTCTGTCCCATTGGATAAGTATATGATCGAGAAGAAAGAGAGGGGTTAGCGAGGGAGGAACCGGCGACCGGCGGGAACGGCTAGCTCGCTTAAGGATGGAAGGATAGATTTGTGTGTGCCTACTCGGAGTTTTATCGTGGTATATGAGGACACGTGGTAGATGTATAATCTGTGAGGGCCCTCCGGATATTTAGATTTTATTCAGCATGATACTCGAGGATTGAGCAATGATGTGGAAAAAGACAACATTAATATTTAGATTTAATTTATTAATATAATTTTTTTGACTGTTTGAATTGACAGCAAATCTTAATAAATATTAAGATTTATTATTAATTTAATAATTATAATTAATTAAATTAACAAATTAAATTGAAGTAATATTTTTTGAAACGGAATTAGAGCAAAAGAATATTATGTAGACTTAATTTTAGAACGAAAATCTAATTAATTATAATTGTTAAATTAAACATGAGTTTCATCGGACTTTAAAACTTTAAAATAATCTAATGACAACAATAGTTGAGATTTATTCTTTATAACTAAATCTACTGTTACTAAATGAGAGCCGGGTTTTAAATTGATCGTAATTCATTGTCAATTAAACAAAAATAATAAATTGGCTCAATAAATTAAATAAATGATTAACTTAAAATAATTTTAGTGACAAAACTAACCCCATAACTATTCACAATTTTTTTTGAATCATATCAATGTCACATCATTAATTAAAAAAATTAATTTAATATTTCAAGTACAAATAATATTATTCACTGAATAAATATCCGCTCTTCTCGCGTCGCTTTCTATTATATCCAATTTCTCCCAGCTAATTCTAATAGTGCCCAATCACACAAAGACTTTTTAAACTATGTCCCATTCAATTATTCTCTAAAAAAGTTCACTTTCTCTGAGTTTCACACTTTTCCAATTATTGCATTTATTTTTGAAGTTTTTACATAAAAAAAAAGAAGGTATTTCACAATGTCAGGAGAAGTGGCCTCTTCCTCCTCAGCTCTATAAAATACTATTTTTATCTTGATTAACCATAAAAAAAATTAAACAAAAGTTAATGATTTTTTTTTTTGAACGATCAACGATTGAAACAACGTAAAACTTAAACCAAAAAAAATGCGGTGCAATATGCAAAAAGTAAATAAGTTAAGATCAAGGGTTAAAGTTTAGGGGGAACTATGTGTAATTTACTCTCCTAACAATGGGATGTGAAGTAAGCATACAAGAATAAGCCAAGAGGGGATGATTCCGCATTTGAGTGGAACGGATGGACCATTAATGGTCAATTGGGTCATGTTGGATCATTGTCGAATACTATCACTCTGAATTTGTGTCCTTTTTAAATTGTGTTATTTTGTGTCATTTGGATATCCATTAATAATTAAAAATTGTAAGATCAATATCTCTTTTTTTTCAACCCAATTTATCACAAAGTACACATAATAAAAATTTATGTGAGCTATATCTATCTATACTATTTGATAGTGTTTGAAATCTTCTTACCCAATTACAGGATAATTTGAGATGAGGTCCAGAGAGAATTGATATATGTTTACGAAAGAAAACGTGTTAAGTGTTAAAGATGAAAAATAGACAGAAATATGCACGAGCGGTTCACCTCAGTCGAACAACTAAGATTACATCTACTGTAAGAGAAACTCCTGCTCCTTGAGGACTAAATTGCTCGGGGAAGAAGGTTGTTGTTACAGAAGGTTTGACTAAGATCCTTTTACAAAGTATTTCCTTGGTTGGTAATCTATCTGTCTCTCTCTTGCCTATTTTTTTTATATCTTATATAATAGCATCGTTTGCTGTGTATACACCTTATTATTAGAGTTTCGTAGTGGTTCCTTTTTGACTAATTATGTGGTCCTCTTCTCGTTTATTCTGTAGTTGAACTTGTCATCCTGACGTTTGTTGGGCCCGTTATGCCTTAAACAAAATACATGAATTTTCTTCATTATCGGTGAATATTTATTTGTTATGATTGTCAAGTATTGTCTCCTTATACCCCCTCCCCTTGTCCACGTGTCGCAACACAGTCACTTATGATTTGTGGGGTGCCAAGCTCCCTTACTCTCGAACAGATACTTATTGTCGAGTTTGTTAACGTGAAGCTAATGTCAATTTTGGGTTTTCATAGAGTTGGGCTATGATTTACCCTAGATATGTTCAACGCCATCATGATGGGGGCATTTGGGTCGTCTTTGGTGAGCCCACAAGGGGTTTTGGGCTTAAAACATGGGATACTCTCAACTTACAACTTGTACCTTGAAAGATCATTCGCATATTAATTTGTATCCTTAAAATTTAAAAATATTAATTTACACCTTGAAAGACATAAATTTGTATTAATATGCACCGGAGGTTAACTGCCATTTATTTTGTTGCTAAAAAATTTTGGGATAATTACAAATCGCACCTTCAAAGTTTAAATAATTCAAATTTATGATTAAAAAAGAATTTTATTTATTAATACTTGTAAAATACCCCACAATTATGTCATATTATGTTATTTTGTGTCATATCGTATCATTTTCTTGTTGTGTTCGAGTCTATAAAAAAATATTTTTAACACAAAATATTTTTGTGTCGAGTCAATTGCGTTATGTTATATATTTCATATTTACAATAATTTATATAATATTATTTAATATTTTTTAAAAATTATAAAATACATATTTTTTGCCTACAATACTCATTAAATAGTTATTTTCTATTTTCAGTTATGTTATTCATATCTAACTAATTTGATCAAACAGTCAAAAGATTCGTGTTTAACTATAGACAGAAAATAGTTATTTAATAAGTATTGAAACAAAAAATAGGTATTTTATAATTTTTTTAAAAATTTTAAAAATATTTTTTTATTGACTCGAATATGACATAAAAATATTATGACATGATACAATTGAGAGTTATTTAATGANAAAAATTTTAAAAATATTTTTTTATTGACTCGAATATGACATAAAAATATTATGACATGATACAATTGAGAGTTATTTAATGAGCATTAATAGAAAAAATTCTTTTTTGATCATAAATATAGAATATTTAAATTTTAAGGGTGCAATTTATAATTAGTCCAAAATTTTTTATTGGCAAAATAGATAGCAGTTAATCTCAGATGTACATTGATACAAAAAAATAGTTATAAATTGCACAAATTTTTTTTTATAAAAAAAATAGTTATTTTTATTTTCTATCCATCCAACCAAACACAAAGGAAGGAAAATATATCCTTCCTACTTTCCATCCTCCCTACCAAACGGAGTATTAGAGTGTAAATTTATATTTTTAAACTTTGAGGGTACAAATTGAGATTTTAAGTGATCTTTCAGGGTGTAAGTTGAGATTTATTCTAAAAATATCTTAGAAATTTTTTTTTTGAATCTGTCTTTAAACAAAATTATAAGGATAATTATACCTCACACTAATAATTTGATCTAAATATAAAAAANTTATTCTAAAAATATCTTAGAAATTTTTTTTTTGAATCTGTCTTTAAACAAAATTATAAGGATAATTATACCTCACACTAATAATTTGATCTAAATATAAAAAAATTTTGAATTTTTATTTTTTCTTTAAATAAATATATGAAGATACTTATGGTTTATATCATAAAAATTTACTTTGTGTGGACCCTTAAAAAAACTTACAAATTCAAAGATTATCAATATACAATTCATAAAAGTATACTAATAAANTTACTTTGTGTGGACCTTAAAGAAACTTACAAATTCAAAGATTATCAATATACAATTCATAAAAGTATACTAATAAAAAAATTTATTTTGTAATTTCACTTTAGTACAATTTAATAAAGTCCATATTATAATTTTGTAACTGCGATTTAAAAATAATGTAGAGTCTATATTATCCTTAATCCAAAGATTATTCTAATTAATTTTTTTTTTATGGATTCATAATATAAACCTATTTTTTTTCGTTTGCCCAATACGTGTTGTAATTTATTTAACTTGTAGACATTACAAATTCTATAAATAGCGCAAATAAGTCCCAAGACTTTTTGAAAGTAAATGTCTAAGATATAATAATAACTTATGAAATTTATATGGATTCATGTACTTTAAGAACTTGACTTTTGAGCTATCCATCTATTACTAATATCTTATATATTTAGATAAATTTAACCATGAATTTAGAATTAAAATTTTTTCATTAGAGATAAGTTATCCCTAGGGAAGTGCTTAGATATAAGTTTGAGTTAATTTTTGTCACTTTTAATTCTCAAAATTCTAATCCCTCATATAAATGTAACATAAGAAACAAACCTTTGTAACTGAAACACGTATGTTTTTTACCTATTGGTTTGTATAAACTTAAAGTTATAGCTCGCTCTTTATCATGGTTGTATTTGTAACTAAATTTACATTTGAAGGTGCATTATGATGATTTATTGGATTATTCTATTTATGTTGAAGAATTCAATTCAATACTCATTTGAATACAATTATATTGTTTATTGGAATAATAAAAAAAAATCAAATAAGGGATTAAACTATAATAGACAAAATATCTTCTATTTTTATTTGAGATAATTTGGTAGTTTAATAGATTTTGTTAGTTTCATAAACCAATAAGGGATTTAAGTGTAATATTTTACATTTAAGAGATTTAAGTGTTATACGCCTATAAATTTCAAAAGATCTGGATATAATTTACTATTAGATATAGCATATTGACAATAAATGTCTAAATATCACGTGTATATAAACTTAAAAGTTTGTACGTAATATTTCAAATTTTAAGAGATTTAAGTGATTAAATGATAAATCTTAAGGATGGTTTGATTGTAATTTTTCTTTTAAATAATTATTTTCTTTGGTCAATATAAATAATTTTTTTTACTGTACTAATCATTAGTTACAAACAAGTAATGATAAAGTGGGAAAATTAAAATAACAAGAGCTAAAAGTGACATAAAACCCACACATTATTATTGTATTGCTTTGCTTTTCAATGCATCACTTTTACCCTCACATTGTTCTTTGTTGGCTGGTAAAATCGTCAGTGCCCTCAGAAACTATCAGCTCTCGCCACAATCCTCACCGGCAAACCACCTTCCATCCTCGAAGTCATGGTGGACATGAG